CATAGCAAGGTTGGCAAAAAATTAATTGTCTGTGATAGAGAAGGGGCTTGTGTTTAAGGAAAAGAAATACATATATTTTGATTATTCTTTTTTCTGTGCTTTAAATTATGTCTACATTTATTTTTATTCAGATAACCCCTAGTGAAAGTCATGACTTGTTATATATATTAAATGTCTTCTGCTTGTCATCTTTATTCCAGGAGTTGGCTAATTTATGAAAAGCAGATTTATTTAGCTTCCTGCCCTGTCTACTGATTGTTCTCTAGAAATAAAATGAAGCTAACCAACAGAACTGTAGACTACAATGGCAAAACCACTAAAAGATCAGGTTTTTTGGAAGGAAGATCTGACCAGTGGCTTTTCAAGGGTGTAGTATCTGCTTCCGAAACCTGTACCCTGATGATTGATCAGCTAGGAAAAAGGAGTTAGTTTTGAAATGGGACGGGTGGGATGGGGAATAGGAAGGGAATCCTTCCTTTCCTCCATCCTTCTATTAGAAAGGTTCAGTTCAGAATAATCAATAAAGTTTTGTGGAAAATTTTTCAGCTTTGACTGCATTTGGTGGAGTTGGCAGTGTTATGTTTATAGTTGGGCTCGATCTTTAAGATCTTTCCCAACCTAGATGATTCTATAATTCAATGAAGGTGTTGCAGCTTCTTGTATCAGAGTTTGAGCAATTCTTCAAGTTACAGAGATGTGAAAACTGCAAACGCAGTATCTCTGTTAATACCAGTATTGTGTGCTCCCCTTGTTTATAGGAGTTTGTATGAGCACAGTTACCTTCTTGTGAATTTCCCGTTGATTTTTGCATCTGCTTTTCAGGTTATGAATACATTATAGTCCCTTAACTTAGGAGCAGAAGGACAGGGGATGATGGCGCTTTCAATGCAATTTGGAAAAGAGACAACTCTGAAATGTCTTCTGGATTTTAGATTCAATGAAGGGATTTATTGGCTGAGGGTTTGGGCCTCTGTTGTGTGGTTGAACACACAGGACAGCTGAGATTTGTTCAAAAAAGTCCTGCCTTGTACTGAGCTTGCTTCCATAATGCTAGTTATGAAGATAACAGAGTTACCACTGATGATCAGTCTCTGGAGGTAGTGTACTCCCTGCAGAAGCATGAAGAACTTTTGCTTTAGTAACATGTTTTTCCACTTACTAGTAATTACCGAAGGAATCTGTCTATTTGCTTGTGTCTTTTTTTTTTTTTTTTTTTTTTTTTTAATGGGAGAAATACTTGGAAAGTGAATGAAGAATAGGAGAATTTAAAGAATGAATAGTTTTTGCTGGACATATTGCTTACAGTGAAGAGTGGACTAATTCATTTTCCTAATAAGGCTGTGCTGGAAGTTGGAATGTTTTGAATTGCATTAAATGTCATGAAACTATTCATCAGAGAGGAACAGCTTGTGGTATGCTTGGACAGCAAATTTGATCATGTTTGGTTGAAATGAGCTGTTTACACAAGCTAAATATAGCTTTGCCCCCTCCGCCCCCTCGACAGAAAGAATAAGTGTCTTTGATGTAGAAGCCTGTGCAAAAAATCTGTGCACTTTTATTTTCAATATTAGTATGTCAGTAAGTGATGGCTGCTGTTTCTGTTTCTATTGTTTATAATAATTCCTATGAAGTTTGATACTGTAACCATTTGCCAAGGTCTTTTGTGTGAGTTGTTTATAATAAGCCTTTATACTGAGCTTTTATGTCTTTGCTTTGTTTGTATGTTATTGAAAGTATTGCATAAACTAGTATGCTGAACTGCTAGTTTTAAGTCATTCAGAAAATATCATGCTTCAAGCCATCCTGCTTTTTCTAGTAAGTAATAACAGGGCAAGTGTGTCATCTCATTTGGAAAACCGAATCATCAGTTATCATCAGTTATTCATTTGTTTGATGGGACCAAATCAGCAATGAAATCCTAGTATGTTTAATTGATAGGTGGCAAATGAAGTGCTAACAGCTACAAAATGTAAAAGATTCTGCAGTTTAATTATTTTTTGGCTATGCAATTTTGTAGTATCTATGAAAATCTTAAAGGAAATAGCCCCGAAGGAGGAATTTGCTTAAATGTGTGTGTTGGATGTGTATTGCTTTTCAGCTTGAAGTGTGCGTTTCCTTTTGTACTGTC